GGTAAATGGGAGAAGCCGAGGAAAGATCAGATGACGAATACGTACGCTGGCAATCGCCTACACGTAACGGCGTGAGGTCGCGTCGCCTCGCGAGACGCAAGTTGCGACCTAAGACTCGTGGACAGGTCGCAGGGTGGAAAACTGGATCTCCGCGACAAAATAAGGGTAGGAACGTTCGGCGTGATTCTGTCTGTTGCCGGATGGTTCAAGAGAAACGTTCGGACTTCCGTCTGTCGAATGCTAAGGAGAACGGCAGTGACACGGTGAGTACAACCCGTGAAGGAGCAAGCGTACGTAGTACAGATAGGAGAGGATAGGATACATAGAAACCGGAGCAACATGCGTCGTGCTGCAAGCATGGTGGAGAGCTCATGGGATTCAATGGGGGCGATTTGGAAAAAGTGGTGCGAAGCGAAGCGAGTTGTGTGTGATGTGATGCGAGATGTGATCGATCGGGTGACACCAGCTCGCTTGCTCCGTCGCGTTGCATGTGGACGACGCGATCGAGGCGCACCACATTTATTTTCTCTCCCGGATGTTTTTCGTCAATGGTCGAACCGACCATCTGCGTCGCAGATGTGTTCGGATGGCTCGATCGACGGTTAAAATGTGGCAACATCACGTCGCGATGTCGCTGAATCAACAGAGGCCAACATTCGAGGCGCCAGGTGATGGGCATGGGGTGGGAGTGTGGCTGCCAGCTGGGGCCAGTGGTGGTGTTTGTCAACGAAATTCAGTACGGTGCATGTGGTGAATGAATGTTTTCAAAGTGGTTCGAGCTGAAAACAACAGTCGCAGATACAAGCTCATTTGATGTAGAGCACTCTAAAATTAAATCCTCCTTATACAGCTTTCACTAAAAGCCAGAAAACATATTGGTTATTTACAGACTACTTACGCACTCAACCGCCCCTCATGAGGGGAGAAAAAACATGCAATCCACAGTTCATGGCGCTAGCACGCTCGTCTGTGGACTTTCGATGGTACTATGGCTCCTCATTATCTGAAGGAGCAAAATTCAAGTCAAACTCCAACACGCGCGAGCGAGTTGGAGTGGTGTGTCCAGTCTCATGATTGTCGTTCTGAAGCTGTACCATTGGAGGCCAAGATCTTGCAACCCCACTTGGTGGGGGAACGCCACTGGAATCATTCTCCACATGCTGCTGGTGCGGAACAGGATCAGGGTAATTCCCACTCTCAAGCTCATGTTGCCGAGTCACATAATCCAAACGGGGCGGTGCAGGAGGCAACAGAGCCAGGGCTGGTCCTAAACACCTTTTCGTCTCATGCTTCTGTGGGAGACGGTCCACCAGGGGTGACGCAGGAGGCACCAGCACACGGTCCGGCAGCATGGTGAGCCGATGGTGAGTCACCTTCTGATCCAATGGTAACTGCTGCTGCTGCTGTTGCTGATGCTGGTGAGATTGCATGCCGGATTCTCCAGGCGGTGGCTTCTCATTCAATACAGCGCTCTGCTTCTTTCTCAAGCCAGGTGCGTCTGCACCGCTTTCAGCAATGCCAGAATTCTCCTGTGATGCTTTCTGTAGATCACACAAGCTTTCTGCAACCTCTTGAGTATCTCCCTCCACCTTCGCCTTGTGCATGAGCTTCAGCCTCTCCTCTGCGAATCAGAGACAATCACATTGAAAATCCAGATATGACTTTGTACTGACACTCTCAACGGGGCATGCAACAGAAAATGCTGTGAGCTAGAGCTGAATCAGCAGCCAGCGTACCTCGTCTATGTCTCGACATATGTCCGCCCAGTGACTGAGGCAGGGAGAACGTCCGCCCACACTCCTTGCACTCGTACATGGACGGCAATCTGGGTCCCGCTGCCTGTAGCTTCCGAAGTTCGTCCTCCGGGGAAAAACAGGTGCGAGCTGGATCCACACACGTGGATGGCGTCACATGGACGGGAGGAATGAAGCCTGCAAGGCCTGATGACACCTGGTGGCTGTAGCCGGATGTTTGCATGTAACTGGATGATCGCATGGGGAGACTCCCAGTGGGAAGGGCAGCCTGGCTCCAAGATTGTATGTTCTTCGGAATCAGATCACTGTGGGTGGACTCGACAGGGAGATTCCTGGTAAAAAGGTCCATACGCCCAGAAGTTTGCACAGGAAGGTTCCTGACAATAGGGTCAATCAGGCTGGAAGGCTGTACAGGAAGGTCCCTAGTAAAGGGTTCCAAATGGCTGAATGTTTGCACAGGAAGATTCCTGGTAAGCGGGTCCATGTGCCTGGAAGACTGCACAGGAAGGTTCCTGGTAAAAGGATCCATGTTCCTGGGAGACTGCACAGGAAGGTTCCTGGTAAAAGGGTCCATGTCCCTGGGAGACTGCACAGGAAGGTTCCTGGCAAAAAGGTCTGCGAGACCAGAAGATCGCCCAGGAAGATTCCTGGTAAAAGCGTCAGTAACACCGGATGACTGCAAAGAAAGTTTCCTGGTGAAGGGGTCCGTATGGCTGGATAGAACAGGAGGATTCATGCTAAAGGGGGTAAAGGGGTCCATGTGACTGGAAGCTTGCCCAGGAAGGTCTCTGGTAAAACGGTCCACATGGCCAGACGATTGCACAGGAAGATTCCTGGAAAAGAGGTCGGTATGGCTGGGATTTTGCACTGGAAGGCTCTCAGGGAGGCGTTTCAGATAGCTGGATGATCGAAGACGAAGGGCCTGGGTCAAAGGGTCCGCAAGGCTGGTGCCTAGCGTGAGAAGGGGGAAAGAATCCAGAGAAGCCATGTCAGGCACAGGCAGCTGGGATGAAGAGGAGAGTGGAGCAGCTGTTTTGTGAGAGGAGCTGGAGAGTATGGAGGGAGGGAGAGAGGAGAGCGAAGGTGGAGGGGGGTGGAGGGGGTCGGAAGGAGGTCCTGAGGCTGCATGAAGGCGTGCTTGTTGGATGATGGATTGGAGCGCTCCTGCAGTAACGAATCGTTGTGACAGCATGAAGAGACGGAGACACAGAAAGCGGATAAGAAGGCAAGCTGACGAGCAGAAAGCGGATCCTCGAAAGGGATAGACTGAGACCATGCACGGTTTGCCATCTTTACAGTCTCTGTTGGCCCTCAAGGCGAACAGAACAAGACGTGCAGGAGCAGTCACCTGTGAATGCGGCACACGGGGCAGGAAGACGCCTCTTGGCGATCAGGCGAGCAGCAAGAGCCTCATCATCATCGCTAGCAGCAGCCGCCTTGATCTCCCCCTCGCTCGGCAGCGGATCTCGGCCCGATCGCTTCCGCTTCCGCCCCCCGCTGGACTCGCGCTGGCCTTCACAAGGCCTCCGCCTCAACGCTCCGAGCTCCAACGCAGCAGGGGGGGGACCACTATGTCCGGCCGCAATCGCACATGAATCCTGACTGAAATAATGAGGTTGAGTCGAGACGTTGCTTGTAATAGTAGCTCGCGATAGGACCTGCGCGTTCCATCGTCGCTCCTCTTGGCCATACGTATTCATCCTCTTAATCGGACCATACCTCTCAAGAGGACTATTTCTCCTCTCATGCCTCTGAAGAGGACTATTCCCCCCCTCAATGGGGCCATACCTCTCAAGAGGACTATTCCTCCTCTCAATCTGGCCATACCTCTCCAGCCTTCCACGAGCAGGGCCCGTCGCCCCTAACCGTCCCTGATCCATCACAAGGAAAAACGACTACTACCGCCGCTCGTCTGCGTTGACGTACCGAATGCGGTGATAATAAGGCTTGATAAGGTCGCTTATGAAGTTATAAGGGCTCTCATCCATGCAGCAGCTGGCGGATCCGTTGCGGTTTCCGTACCACTGGCGTGGGAGCTTGGTGGAAGCGAAATAGATATCAACCCGGTGGATGGGGAGGAAGACAGCTGCATGGGGCCATCCAATGATAATTTCTGCAACTTTTCTAGGAGTTGGCCGCCCAAAAGCTCCTGAAACCGAACGCGCGCTGGTTTAACGCGGCTAGATTCCAAATTCTGAAATGACCTGGAGTTTGTCCCATAGGGCTTTGCATGCAAAAGGATGACGGCAATGCCCCTACTAGTTGGCGACTTTACAAGTCACGCCGCCAGCCAAATCCATCGAAGAGATCTGAAGGCGGACCTCTGACGACCAGTTTAGGAGTTGAACGGTTTCGACGAAAGACGGATGGGAGAGTCTGTTTGTAGCGAGCGGCAGCATTATTCGGGTTCTGCGTCAGAAAGGGGAAAGCCGCGTGTTTGCTTGACACATGGGAACATCTTAGAAAGTGGATCAGATGATCCAACGTCGCTGTGAGCTTCTTAACAACGTCGTAGAAGACCTGCCGTTGTATGTAGCCGCGTGAGCCCAGCGCGCGTTCGGCTTCAGGAGATTTGGGGCGGCCATCTGGTCGAGATGGTGCGAGAGCTATCATGAACGGCAGCCCCTCGCGCTGCTGCTCATTTGGCTCCAAACAATAAGATGTAACTTTTGTCGCAAACTGGGAGCTGCATGCGATAGGAGGAATCGCGCTAAGCGGAGAGGGCTTGGCGTTCATGGCGGCCAGAGGTAAAAAGCCGTAGTGATCTGGAGGAGCCACGTGTGAAGTGTAAAGGTAAAGCTCCAACCATGGGCCGGGCACTACTATGGCAGTATCTTCGCCCCAGGCATCCAGGTACGGAAATGTTCGAACAATGACGTCATTCGAGTCAGGAACGCTCCCCCACATTTACAAGTTTCACTTCATTCATGCTTGAATTGAACGCCTTTCTAATTCAATAGGAGCATCATGAAACTAGTGTACCCAATATCCGATTCTTTGAACCTGAATTCGAATATTTACTGAATTATCTAATGCGCACGACCATTTCTAGAAAAAGACCCCCAATTGCATCGTGCCATTCAGGCAGGGCATCAATTACGGAATATGGTTCAAGGTACCTCCCTATCATTTGTGATACGCGCCTTCTCCCTCCCATTCCATGTGTAGATGTAACAAGACACAGGTGCTTTATCCACACTCCCTCCATTCCCCTATCCCAGCGTGCGAATATGTTCCATGTTGCCCCTATTCCTCTGAGCGGCACTGCCTCTCATGCTCTGCAACCCCTTCATCCTCTCTCTCCACCTGCTGATTCAAGCCACCACACCACTCCGCACCTTTCATCCCTTCACCCTGCCTCCTCAACTGAAGCCCCTCTTCCCCCCGTTGATCCCTTATAAGCTGCTCCTGTAAGAGCAGCAACTGGCGAAGCTGTTCAAGCTGTGCCAGCTCATCCTCCTCACTCACTGCTGCACCCTCCCCCAGCATCCGCCCTGGCAGAGTGCCAACCTCCTGCTGGACTGGAGCATGCTGAGAGGTCAACAGTTGCTGCTGCTGCTGCTGCTGTGCCATGCTGGGTCGAGAGAACACAAAAGGTGGCTGCATGGAAGAGGAGTGCTGCTGGCATGATGGGATGGAGGTAGGTGGAATCGACTCCATGTGGCCATAGACTCTAGGAAATGTAATGGCAGTACCTGAAGGACCATGAGATGTAACGCCACCACCAACTGAAGAACTGTACTGTGGAGTAAGCAGGGGAGCAGTGGCAGCAGGATCTGTAACAGCAGACCCAACAACCATTGGAGGCCTCACCAGTGGAGGCGTAACTAGGGAAGGCGTAGCTAGAGAAGGGGTAGCTAGGGAAGGCGAGGCCAGGAAAGGTGTAACCAGGGAAGGCGTAACCCCAGCAAGGGCAGAAGCGAGTGCAGAGGCAAGAGGCCCAGAGGTCAGGTAAGGAAGGGTAGGAGAAACTTCAGGCATAGTCACATGAGGGTTAGGCAGAGCAGGCATAGTCACAGCAGGCATAGTCACAGCAGGCGTACTCAAGCCATGGAGGTAAGAAGCTGTAGGAGACCAATCCAAGGGACTGACACCATGCAACGTCCCCTCTCCTCGTACCACTCCTCCCACTCCTCCCACACCTCCTACTGTTCCCTGGGCATCATGCTGCTGTGGCTCCACACATGCTTCTGCTTGACGGCTCTCCCCCTGCTGCTCCTGCCCCTGTTGCCTCAACGCTCCACCTGTGTCTGCCTGTGCTTGCTGCTCTGCCAACGCCAACAGCTGACTAAGAAACTCGTCCTCCTGTTGCTGTTGCTTCTGTTGCTGTTGCTGCTGCTGTAGTCGCTGCCGCTCCTTCTGCTCCTGCTCCTGCTCCTGCTCCTCCTGCTCCTGCTCCTGCTCCTGCTGCTCCTGCTCCTGCTGCTGCTGCTCCTGCTGCTGCTGCTCCTGCTGCTGTTGCTCCTGCTGCTGCTGCTGCTGCTGCTGCTGCTGCTGCTGCTGCTGCTGCTGCTGCTGCTGCTGCTGCTGCTGCTGCTGCTGCTGCTCCTGCCCTGCTCCCGCTACTGGCGGCGCCGACGCCGGCCGTCCAGATGAAACGCCAGATGTAACGCCAGGTGGGCGTACGGCAGATGTATTCCATGCTGCCAACAAGGCAGGAGAAATTGCTAGCTGCTGACGAGCGCCTACTGGTGGAGCAAAGTAGGACTGATGCTGAGAGGGATCGGTACCCAGTGGTGCCGTAGCAACAGGAAAGGGCGAAAGGGAGGGAGGAACAGAAGCAGGATGGGCAGGTGCGAAGGAGGATGCGGTGGTAACCGCACGAGGTGTTACAGGGTTACCAGATGCTGTTCCTGGGAGCCAGGAGTGGAGGAAGAGAGATTGGAGGGCCTCAGGGGAGAGGGAGAGGAAGGGGTCTGGGAAGGGAGGAGGACGCAGCAAATCGTGTGGTGGGAATGGGTTGGAGTGGGTGGACAGCCGCATGGGTGTCTGGGTCGTTTGCCATGAGGGAGTGTGGGGAAGTGATGAAGGCACGTCAATCTGAGGCCTGCTGGGAACAGCCTTACGTGGCCTGGGCTGGGTGAACCCTGAATGCTTGTGCCCCTGCGGCTGCTGCTGCTGCTTTTGCTGCTGCTGCTCTTGCTGCTGCTGCTGCTGCTGCTGTTGCGAATGAATCTGCTGGAACCCTTGCTGCTGCTGCTCCCGCTGCTCTTCTTGCCTCTGCTGCCACCGCAGCTGCTGCTCCTCTTGTTGCTGCAGGCACTGCAGTTGCCGATGCTGCTGCCGATGACGCTGCAGCAGCTGCAGCTGCTCTTGGCGCTGATTCTCTCGTCGCTGTTGCTGCTGTTGCTTCTGCATTCGGTGCTGTTGCTGCTGCTTCTGCATTCCCTCCGGTTGCTGCACTTGATACGGCCAAGTGCTCTGCGGATCTATCTCCATATGCTCCTCTGGCCACCCTCCTTGTCCCATAGCTGCAAATGCACTCATGGTAGCAGCAGCAGCATCCACGGCAGCAGATGCACCCATGACATCAGGAGCAACTACAGCAGCAGGATCACCCATGGCAGCCGGAAGGCCGAGTGGAGTCTCAGCAGAGGCTCTGCTTGCAGCGCTGTGTGACACGCCCAGGGAGAAACGGTATGCTCCAGGAATGAGCTCCTGCTGTTGCTGTTGTGGGGCAAACTCAGGTGACAGTTGCCGCAGTGGTGCCTGTGCTGCTGCTCGCCGCTGCTTCTGCTGCTGATGTGGCTGCTGCTGTTGAAGCAGCTCCTCCAGTTGCTTCTCGTACTTTGCTTCAGCCAATTGTTCACTTTGAAACTGTGGCTGCTGATGCTGTTGTAACAGCCACTGCTGCTGGTTCTGCTGCTCTTGCTGAAGCTCCTGTTGCTGCAACTGCACAACCTGCTCCTGCTGCTCCTCCTCCTTCGGCTGCTCCTGCTCCTGCTGCAGCGCCAGCTGTAGCCTCTGCTGCTGGCGCAGCTGTAGGTCAGCCCGGGCTTGAGCCTCGGCCTTGCTCAGAAACGCGTCTTCTATCTTGCGCTCTGGCCATTGCAACAAGCACAATGGGTGCATTGAGTGCAATGAGTGGAGTGGGTAATTTGAGTACAAAGAAGGCAGTGAATGCACTGGGTGCAATAAGTGTTCATAAGCAGGTCACCACAGTGATGACCACGACTGCAAAAAGGCAAGGCCACTATGAAACAGGTGCATCAGGGGAAAGGGGTGATGTCGTTTGTGAAGGAGGTAAGGGAAGTGGAGAGCGGTACTGACGACAACAAGTGGCAGAAGGCTGAAGGAGCCTTGGTGATGCACGCATGCACGCGCCCGCACACACACAAACACAGACATAAGTTCACACACTTGTGCGCGCGCATGCAAACACAGCATGTCTCACCTTTCCTGTGAAGGTTCATGTGCCCTCCAAGCGCCCGATGAGAATCAAATCCCTTTCCACAGAATCTTCACTCATGTTCTGCCTTGGGACCGGCACTTAAACCCCCTTGTCTCCAAACCCTTCCGCTGCCTGGCATTTTGCTGGTGGTTAACAGAACAAAATCCTGCTCCTGCTCCAGTCGCTGTTGCTGCTGCTGCTGCTGCTGAGCTGGTGCCGGTAACTCCCTTCTTGGTTTCTCCTCTGGGACTTCAGACTGCTGCTCCTGCTGTAACATCCCTTCCTCGTCCTCTGCAAATCCTGTTGCTTCTTCAGCTCCTCCCTGCTCTTCACTAAAACTCCAACCATGTGCCGACGCTGCTCCTGCTGCCGCTGCTCCTGCTGCCACTGCTCCTGCCAGCGCTGCGCCTGCTACTGCCGGCCGGGTGGGAGGGGGACGCTGCCAATGCGCTGTGAGCTGCGGGTGAATGATAGGCTAGTGCTTTTCCCATGTTATGGGTCCTTAGGAGGTTGTGGGTAGGGGTATGATGAGGGCAGGCAGGAGCTTTATGAATATGGCATTGGCACGCCGTGCTTAGGTAAGATGGAATAGGCAAGAGTTGAGATGAACCTAAGCATCAAGCAAGTGAATTTCTGAAAGAGGCCAAATCAAGAGTAAACTGAAGTGTTTTTGGATCAGGCAGTGTAGTAATATGGTAATCATAATAAGAAACAAGCATTGGAGGTGAGAAAAAACCCCCCTAAGGCCCCCCTACCCCCCAAAGTCCCTCACAGGCCCTCACAGCCCCTCAAATCCCTGGGACGGCCAGGGGCACAGCATGGCTACCATCGTGATTCTGGTCCTGCTCCTGCTCAGGGTCCTGTTTCTGCTCCTGCCCCTGTTGAGAGCCCTGTTCCTGTTCCTGTTCCTGCTCAGGGTCATGTTCCTGGTTCTGTTCCTGTTTGTGATCCTGTTTCTTGATCCTGTTCCTGTTCCAGTTTCAACTGGGCCTGGCCTGGACCGCCCCATGTCTGGCCGGGTCTCTCGGGTCTGGCCCGGACCGCCCCGAGTCGCCCCGAACCTCCCGGGGTCTGCCCGGACCTCCCCGGGCCTGCCCATACTAGCTCTTGTATCAATGCAAGCAACATACAATTTGCAACTGTCATCCTGTTTTAGTAAATCCTATTCACTTATTGTGTCTTGTCTTCACGGCGCCCCGCAGCAGGACACGATGCCACCTGCGCAAGGTGGGGGGGGGCGGGTTGGGGAATCGGGGGGATTACAGAGGTGAGTGGTGGGGAGCAGGAGGGTAATGATTTCAGGGAGGGAAACAGTGGGAGGTGGGAAGGGGAAACAGTGCAGGTGAGTGGGAGATATAGTGCAGGTGAGTGGGAGATATAGTAAAGGTGAGTGGGAGATATAGTGCAGGTGAGTGGGGAGTGGAGGTGAATGGGAGATATATACAGTGCAGGTGATTGGGAGGAACAATGCAGGTGAGTGGGAGTAACAGTGCAGGTGAGTGGGAGTAACAGTGCAGGTGAGTGGGAGTAACAGTGCAGGTGAGTGGGAGTAACAGTGCAGGTGAGTGGAAGGAACAGTGCAGGTGAGTGGGAGGAACAGTGCAGGTGAGTGGGAGGAACAGTGCAGGTGAGTGGGAGGAACAGTTCAGGTGAGTGGGAGATACAGTGCAGGTGAGTGGGAGGAACAGTGCAGGTGAGTGGGAGGAACAGTTCAGGTGAGTGGGAGATACAGTGCAGGTGAGTGGGAGGAACAGTGCAGGTCAGTGGAAGGAACAGTGCAGGGGGGTGGGAGGTCCAGTGCAGGTGAGTGGGAGGAACAGTTCAGGTGAGTGGAAGGAACCGTGCAGGTGAGTGGAAGGAACAGTGCAGGTGGGTGGGAGGAACAGTGCAGGTGAGTGGGAGATCCAGTGCAGGTGAGTGGGAGATACAGTGCCGGTGAGTGGGAGGAACAGTTCAGGTGAGTGGGAGATACAGTGCAGGTGAGTGGGAGATACAGTGCAGGTGAGTGGGAGGAACAGTGCAGGTGAGTGGGAGATATATACAGTGCGGGTGAGTGGGAGATACAGTGCAGGTGAGTGGGAGGAACAGTGCAGGTCAGTGGAAGGAACAGTGCAGGTGAGTGGGAGATATATACAGTGCGGGTGAGTGGGAGATACAGTGCAGGTGAGTGGGAGGAACAGTGCAGGTCAGTGGAAGGAACAGTGCAGGTGAGTGGGAGGAACAGTGCAGGTGAGTGGGAGGAACAGTGCAGGTGAGTGGAAGGAACAGTGCAGGTGGGTGGGAGGAACAGTGCAGGTGAGTGGGAGATCCAGTGCAGGTGAGTGGGAGATCCAGTGCAGGTGAGTGGGAGATACAGTGCCGGTGAGTGGGAGGAACAGTGCAGGTGAGTGGGAGATACAGTGCAGGTGAGTGGGAGGAACAGTGCAGGTGAGTGGGAGATATATACAGTGCGGGTGAGTGTGAGGAACAGTGCAGGTCAGTGGAAGGAACAGTGCAGGTGAGTGGGAGATCCAGTGCAGGTGAGTGGGAGGAACAGTTCAGGTGAGTGGGAGATACAGTGCAGGTGAGTGGGAGGAACAGTGCAGGTGAGTGGGAGGAACAGTGCAGGTGAGTGGGAGATACAGTGCAGGTGAGTGGAAGGAACAGTGCAGGTCAGTGGGAGATCCAGTGCAGGTGAGTGGGAGGAACAGTTCAGGTGAGTGGGAGATACAGTGCAGGAGAGTGGGAGGAACAGTGCAGGTGAGTGGGAGGAACAGTGCAGGTGAGTGGGAGATACAGTGCAGGTGAGTGGGTGGATATCAGTGGGGGAAAAAGAATATGAGCGGGAGGTTCAGTGGAGGTGAGTGGGGGAAACAATGAATGTGAATGGAGGGGAGTGGAAATGAGGGGGAGAATTCGTGGAGGTGAGTGGGGGAAACTGGATTGTTGTTGGTGTCCCTTTAGTTGCTGTTTTTGTTGTTTGTTTTTCGCTTTCTCGTTCTCCACGTTCCCCCCCAAGTTCCCCCAAACCCTCCTTAAACCCCAATTCCCCACTTACCAGAAAATCCCAAAGCCCAGCTTCAGTGGCGTGCAGCAGCCTGGAAGCTTCCATGAGCACAGCGGTGGTCCTGGGCCAGCGGGTCTGGTGGGGGGGAAATGCGCGTGGTGGGGGTGCGGAGGGGCAGGAACACGAAAGGGGGCTCTCAGATTTGAGACACTGCCATGGGGACCAGGGAGACCGACTTGGCAGAAAACAGATAGTGCGAAAACACAAGGCATAAGGCAGCAGTGCGGATGGTGGAGGTGGAGGAGGGTGAGAGAAGAGAGGAGGGGGATGATATCACAGGTGACTACATATAATCTCCTAGTTTTATTATTCATTATCTCATATCTCCAAGTGATTTCCGTTGTTTGTTGTTTTTCATCTTTCAAAGTAATGATCTCTAATTTCATAACCTCCCTCTCTCCTCACCCACCTTCCCCTTCTTCCCCCCAACCCCGACTCACCTCCCGCCCGAGCGCCATCAACCGCCGATGCTGTCCGCCCGAGCGCCATCAACCGCCGATGCTGTCCGCCCGAGCGCCATCAACCGCCGATGCTGTCCGCCCGAGCGCCATCAACCGCCGATGCTGTCCGCCCGAGCGCCATCAACCGCCGATGCTGTCCGCCCGAGCGCCATCAACCGCCGATGCTGTCCGCCCGAGCGCCATCAACCGCCGATGCTGTCCGCCCGAGCGCCATCAACCGCCGATGCTGTCCGCCCGAGCGCCATCAACCACCGATGCTGTCCGCCCGAGCGCCATCAACCGCCGATGCTGTCCGCCCGAGCGCCATCAACCGCCGATGCTGTCCGCCCGAGCGCCATCAACCGCCGATGCTGTCCGCCATCATCCGTCGTCTGAGTGGAGAGAAGCAGATGGATTGATTTGCAAGAGGCACGGCGTTTGTGCAAGAGCAGCGCCAAGCCAACAGCGCGGATGGACGCCATGAACACGCTGGATGGAGGCGGAAGACTAAGACTAAGACTTCATCGTGAGAGCAAAGATGGTTGTTGTTGGAGGAAAGGTAAGACTACGTTGTGGGAGGAAAGGTAAGGCTATTGGTTGTTGAAGGCTACTAATAGTTGCTGGGAAGCAATCTAACGTGAGAGCAAAAGATGCCAAGCATTGGCATTGACTAGGGGATGAAAAACGAGGATGCGATGGGAGCAATGTACCGAAACCCTAAAGGTGGACCAGGGGGTCTTGACGGTGGAGGATTCAGGGGTGGCTGTAAAGTGAACGGTCCAGATGATTCCGCCAACCAAATCTGGTTGGAATCGAAGGTTGCAAGGTGATATGCGTTTCAGCAGCACATCTTTCGATTGTGTGCTGAAACTCCATCGCGACACGCGCGAAACGCAGTACAGTAACGAAGTTGTAAAACGGAAGGGGAGCGCATTGATTTACAGGGCGCTTCCGACCATCAAACTGAATGTACTGCACCAATTACACTTGAGTTTCAATTGATAAAAAACAAAAACGAAATCTTTGTTAAATGCAAAAACACAAAACAACACTCATACTTTCAACCCACAACGAAAACGAGCAGTAGCAGTAGCAGGCTTGGAGCTTGTAGGTTCGGCAGTCGCAGGCTTGGCAGCGGACGGAGCAGACGCTTTTGATCTGGACGTTGTTGAAGTGGCTCGGGTGGGGGTGGAGGGAGCGGAGGAGAGGGAGGAGAGGGAGGAGGAGAATGGGGAGAGGCAGAGAAAGGAGAGAGAGGATGGGCTGGATAGAAGTAGATGGGGAGGCTGGTGGGGTGTTTGGTGGAAGAGAGAGCAGAAAGAGACGGCTGGTGGACTTACACTTGACGAAAGGAGAGGAGGGAGTTGAGGTCGATGAAAGGGAGGAGGAGGACGAGGAGGAGGAAGGGAGTGAGGGAGGGTTGGAAAAGAGGGAAAAGGGAGGGAAAACTAAGGAGCGAGAAGGTGAAGGAGAGGGGGGGATAGAAGGCGATGCAGTGAATGGGAGAAAGAATGCCGCCCTGCTTCGCCCATCCATCCCCACGACTCCCTCGCCTCTCCTCTGCTCCGAATCCGAATTCCAACATCTCTTAACCTGTATCAAGAACGCTTCTAACGAGGATGCCATCTCCCTCGTGCTCCTGCTGCTGCTGGAAGAGCAGCGCGCCGCCAACGAAACCTCCTGCTTCCTGCAGCGCCTACGAGTGGTTCGCTCTGAGTACCTGCTCCGCCACCACTCCCTTGTACGATCAATTGAACTCAATCTCCTCCGAGACATCGCTCACAACGACGCCGTCCATCAGCGGGAGATCCAACGGCTGAGACGCGTCTGCATGGCCGGCATGTCAGCTGGCGCCACGCTGTCGCAGCATCAGGTGTTTTATCGAACGCTGATCACGCGGCCACGGTCGCGCGCGTGGTGGGAGGAGTGTATTGACCCGAATAACCCTCCGGAGTTGTTTCGGAAAAAGTTCAGGATGAGCCGGGAGACGTTTATGGAGCTATGCGGGATGCTGGGGCCACTTCTTGGGAAAAATCCGAGAAAAAACCCGAACCTCTTGGATATCAGGATCGGAGCGGCAATCTGGAGGCTTGCCACGGCCGAGCCTCTCCATCTGGTTTCCAGGAGGTTCAATCTCAGCCGGACCACGGTGCATTTCGTGGGGAATGATATTCTCAAGGTGCTGAACGATGTTATTCTGCCCAAGGTGGTCGTATGGCCTGAGCCGGGCAGCACCCGGGCAGCTGAAATTTCTTCCAAGTTCCTGAAGCTGTGCGGGGTGGATGGCGCTTCTTCTGTGGTACAGCAGCTGGGGAACGGGCAGCTGATTGGGACTCTCTACACAACACACCTGTGTATCAACACGCCGCGGTCCAACATGGTAAAATACCACAACAGGCAGCTTACCGAACGTCTCGCCCGGGAATCCTACTCCCTTTCCACGCAAGCAGTCGTCGACGCTAACGGGCAGTTTATAGATCTTTGCATCGGGCTGCCCGGCGCGCTTTCTGACGAGGAGGTGTTGCAGCAGTCTACCCTCCACCAGAAAGGACAAGCTGGAGAGCTCAAGGGAGCGAAGGTCATCGGGTTGCGGTCGTACCCGCTTCTGGATTGGCTGCTGGTTCCATACGCCCAATCAGACAGCGCCACGTGGTACCAAACCACGTTCAACGAGTGCATAGAGAAGGGCACTGCGGTGGGGAAGGACGCGATTGGCCGGCTGAAGGGACGGTGGAGAATTCTGCTGAGGCGGGCTGAGGGGAAGCTGCATGAGCTGCCGCGGTTGGTGGGGGCGTGCTGTGCGCTGCACAACTTTCTGGAGCAGAAGGGAGAGGCGTTTGACCCGGACTGGGCGTATGAGGCGTTTGATGACTTTGTGCCCGCCAGGAGAGCCGATGAGGAGTCACCTGCTGCCGTGGCCGAGAGGGATGAGTTGGCGCAGGGGATGTTCCAGGCCGTGCACGGGTGGGAGGGGGGAAATTAACGCAGGTTTTTTCCCTTTTTATGGGTCTTACGAGGTTGTGGAATGCACAACGTGGGGGGATGATTGGATCTTAAACATACCAGCCGCGTTGTGCTTGGTAGAAGTTTCCAAAGTCATCTTTTTTGCCATCCATTCCATTAGGCCATTTCTGTAACAAGTTACTGTAGGGCGTGTTCCTATCCTACGGCCCCCTATCAGGCAACTCCTTATCGGACTTGCCTAATAGAATGCGCAAAGGGTGTTGGGAGTTTACGTGAATTACAGTGTGATGCAGAGTGAGTCTGATAAGTGGTTGCCTGATAAGGGGCCGTAGGAACACGCCCCTTACAAGCACATGTTCCAAAGAATCTCTTGCAACCGGTCACCAAAAACTTTTCTTGAAAACTGTTCCTCAACATGCACTCGGGCAACCAGACCCATGGAAGCTGCCCGAGAAGGATCGGCCCAGAGTGTAGCCAGTGCAGCAGCAAAAGATGAGGGGTTTGGAGCGCAGAGGAAGCCTGTAGCACCATCGAGTATGCTCTCTGTGGGGCCTCCACTGTTGCATGCCAGCACTGGCTTGCTTGCTGCCATGGCTTCCAATGGCACTATGCCGAAATGCTCGTTCTGCGGGGAAGAGGGGGAGAGGGTGGAAGGGGAAGCAGGGGCGGGATTGGGGGGGGGGGACAGAAGGTGGGGGAGGGAAGAGGAGGGTGGGGTGGGGGGGTCAATGCAGCACAGCAAAGGCTGTTGGGTTTGGACCGCATAGGAAGCCTGTTGCGCCGTCCAGTATGCTCTCTGTGGGTCCTCCACTGTTGCATGCCAGCACTGGCTTGCTTGCTGCCATGGCTTCCAATGGCACTATGCCGAAATGCTCGTTCTGCGAAATGGAAGTAGAGTTAAGTCAATCGCACACGACAGTATGGCATAATCGATTCATGGCAAACAAAACCAGACCAACAAACAAGAAACCAAGAAAAAGGATGTGGAAGAAATCATGTAATAAGAAGATCGTATGGGTAGCACTCACTGGTGGGGTGTAGACGACAGCAGTGCAGTGGGACAGCAGCTGAGCCTTGAGGGAGTCGCTAATGGAGGTGAGGAAAAGGACGTCGGATGCCACCCCTTCCATAACAGCTAGTTGCTTTAGCTCTTGGAGATACTCCACATTCTCCCGTACGCGAGCGTCACACCCACCTGATTCATAGAGAGATGGACGAGGAGGGACGATGTGAGAAATCGGTGAATGGCAGAGAGGAGGAGGGGACGGATGGAGGAAAGCTCAAGGGTTGGTGATGACATTTGGTTAAGTTAAGACAGTGGAGCGGTTGTGACATGTCATTGTGAGAGGTAGCTTCACGCATCCAGATTGTTCGCTCCTTAATAAAATCCTCCTCGTTTGCCTCAGCACCATCAACAGCTCACCTGCCACAACAAGCCGAGGCCGCTGCCCCTTTGCCAAAGCGGCAGCAGTGGCATCCTGGCTGTCGGAAGCGCCTGTATGCGCTGATGAGCGGGTGAGAAGACCCAGAGCAGACACGGCAGTGGCGATCTCCTTCTTGCGCTCATAGGGGTTGATTGATAGGAAGAACGGGCTGGGGAGGGGGGAGAGATGGGTAGAGCGGGAAGATTTGCACCGATGTATGGATGGATGGCAGTGGTGTTTTGATGTCTCGTAACGGGGCAGAGATGGCAGTGGCGATCTCCTTCTTGCGCTCGTATCAGTTGATAAACAGGAAGAGGGGCTAGGAGAGGGAGGGGAGAGAGAGAGGGGGTTGAGGGGGGTGGAGGGGAGGGTAGTGGGGGGAGATGAGGGTTGATGATTGGAGGTAACAAAAAGCTTTCTAACGGAAGCAAGTTTAGCACGCGAGATTATGTGCACACCATCCAGCATTCCATCCAGCCCACTCAGCTCAATCCTTCTCAATTTCCCCCAAAAATAACACCTGTTAAGATCTAGGCCAAGCTTTTCTGCTTCGTCGAAAGCAGGACCCAGGGTGCCAGAACCACCCCTGCTAGCAGCAGTAGCATCGATAGCAGTGCTGGCAGTGGTGGCAGACGAGGCAGGTGGTGGGGAGTCAAGTGCTACAGCTGGGTAGAGCACCGCGGGGCGGATGCCGTGTGATGCTAGCGAGGGGAAGGTGGAGGCGAATGTGGCTGCAGTGAAGTGACTGTTAACCACTATGGTGTCCGCCATGCCTGCAGGGTGGGGACACAGAGAGGATGGAGATGATAGGTATGGCAAAGCAGATAACGGAGATGTACGCAGAAGAGAACGAGAGTAGGCAATGCTGCAGTGAAGCGACTGTTGACCACTATGGTGTCCGCCATGCCTGCAGGGTGGGGTTGACCACATTCGAGTGAGTGGTAAACGCTATTGCCGGATGGTAAGAGCACATACCATTGATAAACACATGCCAACAGCACGCACCAGTGGTGGCCTGCTCCATCCAGTCAATGGGCGCTCGGTACAGCGAGCGCACAGTGAGGGATCAACATGAGCATACACACATGCAAACAGAAACACCATCCTGCACGCACCAGTGGTGACCTGCTCCACCCAGTCAATGGGCGCTCGGTACAGCGAGCACACAGTGAGTGATCCACACTAAAGCCGGCGACCATGAGTACACGTGCAAAGCCAACCGCACGCACCAGTGGTGACCTGTTCCACCCAGTCAATGGGCGCTCGGTACAGCGAGCGAGCGCACAGTGAGTGAGGGATCAACATGAGCATACACACATGCCACCAGAAACACCATCTGCACGCACCAGTGGTGACCTGCTCCACCCAGTCAATGGGCGCTCGGTACAGCGAGCGCAACCATGAGCCCCGCTGAGCCAGCAGCAGATCCGGAAAGTGGCAGTAGAAGAGGATCTGTTATGGCGGGGGGTGGGGGGGGGGGTGTTGGACGCTCGTGATATTGTTTACGAATTCTCACCGGTAACACAAGCATAGCCTCGCTGGGGCAGCATAGCCTCGCTGAGCCAGCAGCAGGTCAGGGAAGTGACAGTAGAAGAGGATCTGTTATGGGGGGGTAGGGGTGTTGAACGCTTGTGTTGCTTTAGAGTATTCTCACAAGTAACACGAGCATAGCATCGATGAGCCAGCAGCAGGTCCGGGAAGTGACAGTAGAAGAGGATCTGTTATGGGGGGGAGTAGGGATTGAATGTGCAATCCCTATTTTTAAGGTTGAGAAAAAAGGGTACGAGTAAGAACGGCCCACTAAACGGGGAGATGTACCACGAGGATAAGAATCTATATTTTAGGAATCTATATTTTCTAAGTGCCTGTGATAATTGTTGTACAGAGACGTGTAACAAAGGGTGATGGAAGAGCATTGGACTGGGAAATGTAGAATAGAAGGCGGAGCATAGTGCAGGTAGGATAGGAGAGGGGAATGGGAAGGTGAAGGGGAAGGGAAGGGGAACAGGAACGGGAATGGGAACGGAACGTGAAAGGTGAAGGGAAAAGGGAACGGAAAGAGAAAGGGGAAGGGGAAGGAGAAGAGGAAGGGGAAGATGAAGGGGAAGGAAAAAGGGGACCACCTTGGCAGGCAGCAGCCTGAGGATGGGATGGACGGCTGAGACTTGATCTGTGATAATTGCATCAACGGCTGGGATCCACCGGAGCCACACAGAGATGACGATGCAGAGAGCCGCCCAGAGGCACCTGAGGTAGGCGCAGACTGCTTGAAATCGGCCGGCGATGTGGCGGGGGAGGAAGCTTCCATGCACGTGCACAGGGAAGGTGCCTGTTGGAGAGGGGAGTATAGGTGGCGGGGATTGATAACATGGTGATGCGTTAGTAGCTGATTCAAGAGCCTCAAGTGTAAACAAATTTGAGCCACATCGGGTTGAAAGTTCAGCCTTACTGGGAATGGGAAGCCTTGATGTTATGAATTCAGAAATGTCTCTGCTCCTATAGTTACAACCGGCCTTACTGAGGAACACGGAATATACTTATACAAAAGCAATCACATCACACACAGTAAGCCGATGGTCCCCAGGAAGCATCTGTGGGGGTCATGATGGTCTGTGAAAGGGAGCGTGATGTTCGATGATGGTCTCATCACATACACATTTGTAACGTCTCATGATGGTCGATGGTCTCCAGAAAGCATCTCTCGGGATCATGGGCTGTGACAGGGAGTGAGAAAATCCTTGTACTAAAAATGCATTCTCTTAGGGATTCAACAACATACCGTCGATGGTCTCCGGGAAGCATCTGTGGGGGTCATGATGGGCTGTGAAGACCCGCACGCTGTGGCCTCTTGCTGCCAGCTCTGCTGCCGCATCCACTATCAGCCGCTCCGCACCGCCTGTGTGCATGGATGGATGCATGGGATGGATGCATCCATACACGGATGGGATGGATGGATGCGTGGATGGGATGGATGCATGGATGGGATGGATGCATGGGTGTATGGATGCATGGGTGCATGGATGCATGGATGCGTGGGTGCATGGATGCATGGGTACATGGATGGAATGGATGATCAGGGCGAAAAGAGAAGCAGTTGGGAATAGCCGGAAAGATGAAACCATGGCCAAGGGGAGGACGACGGACGGAAAGAGCCGGAATAGCATGGGAGTCCTAGCAGTGCATAATGGCTCACAGAAAGAGGGAATGCAGATAATTAAAATCGAGTCTTCTTACGTCGCAGCGACACGTGGGGATTCTAACTGGCACTGCTTCGTCATATCCGTTCGTCTTTTTTTCTGTTCCCATCATGGATTCTTTTCCGTAACCACTCCACGTGTCCCGGTCGAGCACCCGCGACGCGACTCACCTATTCCCAAATCCGGATGGCAAAAAACGACATGCAGCTTCTTTCCGTCGCGCGACGACGACGGCAGATCCTGCTGCATGGCTATTGGGAATTCCGAGCTATGAACCTAGAGGAATATTCGCCGTATTGTCTCAAACAGGGATCAGCTAATTATTATGAGAAAGTCCTCACATTGCTCGCAAAACGAATAACGATAGTAGAGCACAGACTATTGCACGCTCATGGCGATTTGGCGTGCAATGGTTTCGGAGATTTGGACTTCAAAGACGGGAGCGCAGATTCTGAGAGTCAACGCGAAGGCCATTAGCCGACCCGTTAAAGGCGTCTAGTTACGAAGTTTTTTTCGTTACGGTACAATTTCTCGACACAATAGTCAACACTAAAAAACTTACATATTCCACTGTTTTAAAAAAATGCGGTGCAACTTTTGATGCTATCTGTTCCCCGAGTTATGTCCAGGACTCTCTGAATGGTACTCTCCTCCACCTTCCCTAAGCTGCTGTTCTAACCACCTAATTCTAGCCTCAATGCTATCTAACCCTACAGCACCTCTTGACAACCCCTCAACACCACTATCAGCTTCGCGAGAACCTAAAGGTGCTAACGATATAGACGCCATAACTTGTGGGTCTGCAGCATTATCAAGAACCACTCCCATCCCAACCCCTCTTTCTTGAGGATCGGCAGACAGGAGCCCTGTCACCAAATCTTCTGGATTCCTTATCCCTTCCCGGAGGTCTGCCGATGCATGGGGAGGGTTAGGGTTGGGCCGTTGAGGCAAAACGTTGGAAAAAATGGGTTCCGTGGGCCAGAGGTGGCTGGATAATTGATTGGACAGGTTAGTGTAACCCGGTGACTGGGTTTGCAGCAAGCTTGCTAACGCCGGGTCAGCTAGCAGTGTTGCCAGAGCTGATGGGTCAATGTGAGCATCCACTGTAGGGGTAATTCTTTCAGCCATTGCAGCAGAACGTGCAGTTTCCTGTAGAGGACCTGTTTGAAATGGCCAGAGAGGAGTGTGTAGTGATGCAGATGCTCCTGATGCTGCCAATGCTGCTGCTCCTGCTGCAGCCGCTTCTGTTTCTGCCGCTGCTTCTACTGGTGCAGTTGTTGCTACTGGTCGAGAACTTGATGCTGGAGCAGGCAAGGCCGCACCTTGCAATTCCAGGCCATAGTTCTGACCCATCAGCGGCACCAACCCAGCTGCCCTCACACCCGATCCTACCCCTGCTGCATCCCCCAAAGAAGTCACCTCTCCCACAACACCAACAGGCCTTGCCACAGGCGTTCCCACAGGCCTTGCGACAGGAAGAAACGGGGTGGGGCGGGCGGCTACAGAGGAGGAGACACTAGCAGGAACGCTCTGCCCTCGGCTCATTCTGCTGGTGCATGTGCTGGCCTTGCTGGGCTGCCCGTCACTGCCACTCGCTGCGGTGGTAACCCCACTTCTGTAACTACCGCTGCTGTAGCTCCTGCTGCTGTGGCTGCTGCTGTGCTCCCGCGCGCTGCCATGCTTGCTGCTGCTGAGCCCTAAACGTGTGGCTGGGTGTGCGATTGACTCCCTAGCAGCTACATTTTGAGAGGCGCTTCGCTGGGAGAGTCTGCTGCCACAGGCGGAGAGAGACTGCATGCCTTGGCTGAGAGCCTGGTCTCTCAGGGCTTGTTCCCTTGATTCTGGGTCTCTTGGTGCTGGTTCCCTCAGTTCCTGCTCACTTAAAGCTTCTTCCCCTGCTGCTTCTCCTGTTGCTGCAACAGCGGGTGGGGCAGAGAGAGTGGGAATGCTGGCTACCAGCTGCAGTGCAGTGGTTCGTGGTGGTGTGGCTGCGGAAGTTGATGCAATGTTGAATGCGCTCTTTAATGATGATGCTGCTCTTGCTGCCGCCACAGATGCTGATCCCTCTTCTGCTCCTGCTCCTGCTCTGGCTGCGACGTCACTTGTATCAGCACCTGTCTCTAATGGAAATGAACCTAACTCTCCCGTAATTGCTTCACCTCCTCCTCCTGCTACCCCTCCACTTGTTCCCCTTGCTGCTACTCCTGCTCCTCCTCCCCTTTCTCCACCTCTTGACCCCACTCCTAACGATGTCCCACCACCTCCTCCTCCTCCTCCTTCTAGTGCCACTTGCACTGGTGCTTCGGCTCTTCCTGCCTGTGCTGCTGCCGCTGCTCCATCTACTGCTGCTTCTACCACTGCTGCTGCTCTCGATCTTGCTCCAGCTTCTGATGCTGCAGCTACAGCTGCCACTGTAGCCGCTGTTCCTGCGGCCGCTGTCGCTGCTGCTGACGCTCCTCCTACTGCTGCCGCTACAACCTCAGGCGGCAGTCCTGCAAGCAGCCCCCCGTCCAATGCTTCCCCTAACGTGCCTCCTCCCGCCAGCAGAGCACGTGTGAAGGCAGGAATGCACCCAGGCGATGCTTCCCCAGTAACACCCACTACAGGCGTGTCAGTTGGTATGGGAGGAGGGACATTCGAGCCGGTCAGAGACTGGAATGAGGGGTGAATCGGCTGAGGCGGATTTGGAGGGAACATATGGAGGATAGGATTGGGGTGTAGAGGGGGCAGAGAAAGCGGCAAGCGTGGTGGAAGGGAGGCGAAACGAGTGAGGGATGACCGAGTGGCGATAGGGCGAACGGCGGCGGGCAAGGAGGGTCGACGGAGAAGGGAGCCTAGCTGCTGCTGCTGCAACAAAGGTAAGGCAATGGGAGGCTGGATCTGTGGCAACATTGGTGGCTGGAACTGTGGCAGTATTGGCAGTTGATGCTGTGATATGGTCCATGGCTGTGGTTGGAAGGAGGGATGCTGCTGTGAATGAGAGATTGGAAGGTGCCACGGCAACGACGCTAACGGCTGTTGCCGATGCTGTTGCTGTTGCTGCGGCTGTTGCTGCTGCTGTTGCTGTTGCTGTTGCTGTTGCTGATGCTGTTGCTGTTGCTGTTGCTGTTGATGCTGCTGCTGCTGCTGTTGTTGCGGCTGTTGCTGTTGCCGTTGTTGCGGCTGTTGCTGTTGCTGTTGCTGTTGCTGTTGCTGTTGCTGCTGCTGCTGCTGCTGTTGCTGTTGCTGTTGCTGTTGCTGATTCTGTTGCTGTTGCTGCGGCTGTTGCTGTTGCTGTTGCTGTTGTTGCTGTTGCTGCTGTTGCTGCTCTTGCTGCTGCTGCTGCTGCTGCTGCTGCTGCTGCTGCTGCTGCTGCTGCTGCTGCTGCTGCTGCTGCTGCTGCTGCTGCTCCTGTTTATGTTGTTGCTGCTCTTGCTGCTGCTGCAGCTGCAGTTGCTGCTGCTGCTGCTGCTGCGACGGCTGAAGCAGGACTGAATCCTTCTGTTGTTGTGAAAGCTGCAGCAACAGCGCCAACTGTTGAATGTTTAAATTCCCAAGCGAAGTTGGTACGAGCGAGCCCATTCCCGAACCTAGAGCTAATCCATGTGCAGTGCCGTCCGACGAACTATGCACGGCAAGATGAGCACCAGAATTCGAATGTAACCGCAACTGATCCGGCAGCTGCCTTTGCAAGCTATCTGAGAGCATTACCTGCTCTTGCAACCCCAGAATCCCCCCTTGCAACCCTCCATACTGCCAGTAAGAGTTCCCGGAAATACCTTGCGGTTCAGCAATCCCTGCAGTTTCTGCTGTCCCCGCGCCTTCCTGCCCTGCCGTTCCTGCAACACCTTGTACATGTGAATCTGCTTCCGCCCGCACTAGTGCCGCTGCTGCAGCCTGCGCCAAAAGCCTCTCAACTGCAAGCTGGGTCTGCTGCTGGCCGGCTGAAAATTGACTCTGCCGTTCTGCTACAGCCTGGTCGGCTACAGATTGCCTCTGTCGTTCTGCTGCTACAGCCTGGTCGGCTAGAGTCTGCCTCTGTCGTTCTGCTACAGCCTGGTCCTCCGCCTGGGCTCGCTGCTGCCACCGCTGCTCCAGCTCCTGCTGGCTATCCATAAACCGTTCATAGTCAATTTCTGCACACATGCGGGGACAAGCAACAGGAGAGAAAAAGCAACATGGCTCTTAGGTAATTTTGTTCTTCGCCATGTATCACCCGCAACTTCAAACAGATTTGTGAACCCCAACAAACATTTGTCTTGTTACATAAACCAACGCTAACAACTTCAAATGTAGGTATGGGAAATACAGCCATCTATGGCATGTGCTCAGTACGCCTCACAGATCCACATGGCCTTTGTAAGTCGCTTCATAATTCATCTGACCTTTTGCTAAGTCTATAAAAGTCACCTCAAAGGGAAGGGGAAGGAGATGAGCATGCATACCTCGCCTGTGCAGGTTCATGTGGCCTCCCAGTGCTCGCGGATCCTGAAACTCCCGCTTGCAGAAGCGACACTCCACCCCCCGTTCTATCGCCGGAACAAATCCTCTCTCAGGGGGAGTCCCTGACTCGGTTCCTCGAGTCTGATTCGTCCTCTCTTGACCCCTGCTACTGGGTGAATCTCTTGCTCTTGTTTCGCTTATTTGACCTCTGCCTGACATGGGTGAGCGGTTAGTGACATTCCTGTGTCTCCTTGACGGGGAATTGGTGTTTCCCAGAGGAGGATTGTTCGTGCCAGGGGTTTTGGAACCATGCATGCTAGTTCCAGAAGACGCAGATGCAGTCCGAAAGGACGCACTCTGAGCGGATGCGCTCTGAGCAGACGCACTCTGAGTCTGAGCGGACCGAGAAGGGAGCAAAGAGCCCGAAGGAATCCGAGACAGGAAATCTGAAACCGGGGGGTGAAATTGTGCAATTGGGTGTGCTCTCTGGGCTGAAAACGGCTCAAAACCCCGAGTGCTACTGCCTACACCAGCAGCATCAGATCCTCCTAGCAGGCCTCCTCCGAAAGGAGCAAGCCCCCTGGAGATCGCTGCACCTGCTGCTGCAGCTGCTGCTGGGCTGAAAACATCGTGCCAATCTTTTGCTGCTTCCTTCACCTCTGCTTCGCTCGGGAGCACCTTCAGCTGCCCGCGTCTTCTACGCCTCTTCTTGTATCCGCTTCCACCGTTCTGCTGATCTTCTTGCTGCTGGTGATCCTCCTGATGCCTCTCCTGCCGGGCCTCCTGCTGCTGTTCCGGCTGTTCCACCTGCTGTTCCTCATCCTGCTGTTGCTGCTGCTGCGGCTGCTGCTGGCCGTGCTCCGGCTCTTGCGGCTGCTGCTGCGGTTGCTGTGAGCTTTCAAGCCTCTCAAGCATTTCTTGTGCCACGCGAGCCTGCTCCATCGTCCGTTGCTCGTCCATCGCCTTCACCTATCTCCTCAGTTTCTTCTGGTCACTAAACCCCATCATCGATCGCACAGGGGATCACCACCGTGAGACAGTGATTGTGGTACACCATGCGGCATGATAAGTTGATAACCCCTCAGCCACCCGAGGCCTTTCCTTAAAACCTGTAAAAAAGGGGGATACATCAACCATCCCAACCATTCCGCGCACCACTGCAACCCATCGGACTCTGCGAGAACCACCCTGAGTCTCCCGCCAAATTTGGTCGTAAGACCTCCCTCGGACGAGGTGGGCTGCACGCAATCGCCGCCGTACCAGCGAGGTTCGGAACCTCCTAGACAATCCCTGCTCGCATGAGAGCTTGAGGAAATCTGCTTGCCGCACTTGGGCTCATGCAAGCGTCCGTCGTTGGACCGATTGAATGACACGTGGCGAGAAAGCCCAATGCTCGTCATTGTGATCATGATATACAGCAAAGATCGTGTACACTGCCGTTGCAAGGGGGGGTGCTTACAAGTGGTAAGAATGGGGGCTTCCTCCTGCAGGTGAGGGTGCTCGTGATTCTTGAATCTTTCTCGAGTCCGCAGATTCTGCAACTCGTACCTCGCGTAAAGGAGCATGGCTAGTTGAGATTAGGGCGCGTGCGTCACGTATCCTGCTCTGCCACGCAGCATTTTTCTCTTCTGCCAGCCATGTGGGTGAACCGTCCAAACGAGCGCCGCATGTGGCTGAAGAAGATCTCTGTAGGGTCTAGTATTTCGAGGGCGTGGTCGGTGTGAATGAATCCTTAGTTACACCGTGTGTGAGAAACTCCTGTCCACATGCTGAAGGACAAGATCAAGCCGCATTTTCAAAATGAGACACGATAAGAAATCCAGCTGTTGACCGACGATCCGCCGCCATTGCAGATACTTCAGTTAACTCAGGCCGCCCAATCTGTCGGTGTGTTGTCCCTCGTACAGCTGGCTTTACGGCCATTCCGACGTTGACATTCCTTTGTGCAAATCACCACTGACATCAAGCCCGTGATTCAGCTGGGTTCAGCTACTGAAAGCCGTAATTTGTTTCACTATTGTCGGCATCAGGCTTGAAACTTTGCAAGCAACAGAGGCAGAACCGGGCTCTTTTACAAAACTGATGGCGTGGAACGTTACACATACCATACTTCACCCGAACTCCGAATGCCTTGTTCATTCTGCCACCTAATGTCAACTTTAGAATTAGTTCATATGTGGGAAGAGTTAACATTACAAATTTGTTTCCTGTGAGACTGTATTCACTCATGTGAATTAGTTTCTTACCATGAATGCAAACTCTCCTAAGCTGATGTGTCTTTGCAATCGTAGCTCACTATAGTTGTTGATAAGGTTCAGTGCCAATCTTCATTCCTGCAGTGAAGACCAATGAAAACAAATTACGAACCATCCACATCTTTAAACAGTAACCATGACTGCATCATGACAGCAGCACCCTGCCAGTCATCACATCGACCATTGCTGCAGGACACGACAAATGGGCTGCACGGACCCAGAACAATCATGACTGCATCACGACAACATCACTTTTAAGGCGCCTAAAAAATCACGACTGCATCGCGACAGCAGCACCCTGCCTGTTGTTACTGTTGGGCTGACAGTTACATCGACCACTGCTGCAGGAGACTTGTCAAGTCGGCTCAAAAGTCACGACAGCAGCACCCTGCCAGTCGTTACATCGACCACCGGTGCAGGCAACGAGAAATGCGCTGCAGGTACCGAGTCTTTCGCCGATTCAGATTCGGACGAAACACCGGGATTGCCAGCGGCACAAACGGATGATTTCATCATCGGCTCGAGAGCAGCAGCGGATACTCGAGAAGAGGTAACTGCCGAGTCGAGGGAGAGGGGGGAGCGCCAGAGGTGGTGAGCAGCGGCGCTCATGCTCTGCGCCTCGCTGGCCCTCATCGGGAAGGCCTGTAATGCCGCTGCATAGCGCTCTGGTACGGTATATGGGCAGTGGGGGAGGGCAGCACAGAGGGCAGCACAGAGGGCAGCACAGAGGGCAGCATGGAGGGGGGCATGGAGGGGGGCATGGAGGGGGGCATGGAGGGGGGCATGGAGGGGGGCAGCATATGGGACAGAGCATTCATTGCTCAAGGCTCTTCGCCTCACTGGCCCGCATGGGGATGGCTTGCAGAGCCGCTGCAGTGCGCTCTGGTGGGATGGATGGGCAGTGGGGGACGGCAGAGAGGGTAGCACAGTGGGTAGCATTGATGGGCAGTGTAGCAAACAGTGGAAGAAACTTGCTGCGCATAACTTGGAAATCAAAATGCGCAAGTAGGTAAGAACGGAAGTACAATTCCGTTATGGCAATGGACAGCACAATTCCGCAATGATGATATGACGATGGACAGCACAAAGTGGCGGAGCGAGGGGTGGAGACGAGGGCGTGGGGGGAAAGGAAAAAGGAGAGGGGGAAGGGGAAGAGGAAGGGGGGCAATACGAGCACTCACCGAGGGTGAATGCGGTAAGGTCCAGCTGTAGCACTCGGTTCTTCTGATCCTTACCTTGGCGTGCGCATTCAATGCTTTGACTCGTTGCAACAACCTGAAGGTGGAGCAGAGCACTCACCGAGGGTGAATGCGACGAGGAAAGGGGCGCACAGCACTCACCGAGTGTGAATGCGATGAGGAAAGGGGCGCACAGCACTCACCGAGTGTGAATGCGATGAGGAAAGGGGCGCACAGCACTCACCGAGTGTGAATGCGATGAGGAAAGGGGCGCACAGCACTCACCGAGTGTGAATGCGATGAGGAAAGGGGCGCACAGCACTCACCGAGGGTGAATGCGATGAGGAAAGGGGCGCACAGCACTCACCGAGTGTGAATGCGATGAGGAAAGGGGCGCACAGCACTCACCGAGTGTGAATGCGATGAGGAAAGGGGCGCACAGCACTCACCGAGTGTGAATGCGATGAGGTCCAGCTGTAGCACTCGGTTCTTCTGGTCCTTTAGCTGCTCTGCACTCCCACGCACCCATGCACATGCCACAGAGAAGCAACACATGTCCTCTTCTCAGAAAGTATGTGCTAAGCAAACTTCGCAGGGCATTAATGGGTGAAACACATGGCGCACGGCACAGAACACGGAGCACAGAGCGCACATGCACACACGATGCTTGAGTCACTTTTGTGCTCGTGTGCTCTGTGTCACGAAAACACAGATCACAGAACGCACATGCATTCACGACTCTTGTGTCACTTTCGTGATTTTTTCAAAAGTGAGACAAGCATAGTCATACCTTTGTCTGCATCTTGATCTGCAGATGAGCCACGTGCTGCTGCGAGCAACAAAAAACAAGGCATAGCACATTGAACACCGCACACAGCACAGCAGCACAACAGCACAGCAACGCACGTGATGGCATACCTTCGTCTGTATCTTGATTTGCAGATGAGCCCCCTGCTGCTGCCAGCAGCGACAGCCTGTGGTCCAGATTGTCCCACTGTGACGCCCCCAGGAGTGCCAGTGCTTTGCGAAAGAGACCCTGTTTAACACAGATGGAACGTGGTGGAGAAAGGTGGAAGAAGGTGGAACGCGGTAGAACAGGATGGAACAAGGTGGCGCAAGGTGGAAGAGCAGAAACACGGCTGTCCCCCTGCCAGCAGCGACAGCCTGTGGTCCAGATTGTCCCACTGTGCCGCCCCCAAGATTGCCAGCGCTCGGCGAAAAAGGCCCTGGTAGGCAAAGGTGTACGCAGGTGGAGCAAGGTGGAGCGCGGTGAAACACAGTAGAACAGGGTGGAGGAAGGTGGAGGAGCATCAACAGGGTTGTCGTCCCAATGTGATGGCCCCAGGAGAGACAGCACTCGGCAATATGATGCAAACCATCCCCTGCTGCTAGGACCTACCTCAGCGATCATGCCCTCCCCCGTGTGCTGCAGCCTGCCTCTCTGAGCATATGTGTCACCCAGCAGAGACAACATGAGTGTGGCACCATGGGTTGTCTGTCACATGCCGCGCACCCTGTTACCTGTGCATCAGTGCTGCTAGGACCTACCTCAGCGATCATGCCCTCCCCCGTGTGCTCCACCCGGCCTCTCTGGGCATATGTGTCGCCCAGAAGGGACAACACGGCTCCCACCATCGGGTTGAATTCTGGGCTATCTGCATGGTGGGGGCATAGGTGTTGAAGGGGTAAGGGCGGGGAAAGGAGGTCAGGTGGTGGTGTGATTGAAATGGTGGTGATGGTGGCAGGTGTGTGTGCCATTGGGTTGAAGTCTGAGCTATCTGCCGACGTGGGAGTGTCGGGGGTGGAGAAAAGAGGGGGGGTGTGGGAGAGCAGGCGGTGGAGTGATTAAAAGGTGGTGGTGGTGGTGTGGGTGTGTGCGCCAGCACTGATGAAGGTTTGACTTGGGGCCTGTCCCAGACAACACAACTCCTACTGCCAGGTTGAAGACCACGCGAGTTGTGTGAGGGGGACGGTGGCTTGATACCGACAGTGGCATGAGTGACTAGCAGGAGGGAGGTGACTTACTGGGTCGACTCAAAAGTCACCTAGGAATGCACACCTCCTACCACTGAAATGAAGTCTGAATGAGTTTATGGGAGTGTGTGAGGGGACAGCGGTGTGATACCGACGGTGGCATTGACTAGCAGGAGAGGGGGTGAGGCAGAACGGGGGAAGGCGAGATGGGGAGCGGGGGAAGATGAGGGAGCGATGGATTGGTGGAAGAAGGGAAATAGCGGAGTGCTAACACGGCCGTGAGCTGCAAAGGCATTACCACGGAGGACGGAGGAGAGGCTTCGAGACGGAACGGGCGAAGAAAACAAGGGGGGGTTGGGGAGGGGGGGGGATGGTGTGGGGGAGAGGGATGAGTGGAAGAGCAATAAGAAGGTCTAACGCGGAATGGTGAGGCAGGGAGGAAGAGAATTAAAAGTTATGCCTCCGTGAGGCAGGGAGGAAGAGAATCAAAAGTTATGCCTCCGTGAGGCAGGGAGGAAGAGAATCTCTTCACGGAGCTTACCATCCATGGATTCTGCCTCTTTGAGAGCTTCCGTGAAATGCTCCTCCGCTGCTTTGAAATCCCTGCACAGATTACACAGACAAGCAAAAAAAAACAGTAAAAAGCTCAGGGAAGTGAACGGAGATGAGAAGGAGGCAGGCAGAGAGGGCAGGTGAGCAGAAGGTAAACGACCTGAGCGAGTGCAATAGGAAGGGGCAAAGGAGGTGGGGCAAGACTGCTAAGTCGACTAAAATATCTGCAGGGTGAGCCAAGCATCGTGCAATAAGAAGTCCAAAGGAAAGAGGAGGCGGGGCGAGGGTCAGCAGCAGCACCTGCAACTGTGACGACTTTTGAGGCGCCTCAAAAGTCATCTGCAGGGAGAGCCAAGCATCGTGCAATAAGAAGTCCAAAGCAAAGAGGAGGCGGGGCGAGGGTCAGCAGCAGCACCTGCAACTGCTGTTGCAAGGAGAGCCAAGCCTCGCCTTATAGAAAGTGCCCCAATAAGTGTGCCTTGAAAGTCACTATTACGAACTCTCAGTGACTGCTTCAGCAGCACCTGCAACTGCTGTTGCAAGGAGAGCCAAGCCTCGCCTTATAGAAAGTGCCCCAATAAGTGTGCCTTGAAAGTCACTATTACGAACTCTCAGTGACTGCTTCAGCAGCACCTGCAACTGCTGTCTTGAAAGGACTCACGCTGTCCCTCCTGAGCGAGCACCCCACAAGAATCAATAGTCCCACCCCACCCCACCACCCACCCACCCATCCCACCCCACCCCACCACCCACCCACCCATCCCACCCCACCCCACCACCCACCCATCCCACCCCACCCCACCACCCACCCACCCATCCCACCCCACCCCACCACCCACCCACCCATCCCACCCCACCCCACCACGCACCCACCCACCAACCCTTGCAGAACCCCAATCCCTGCTACAAGAGTTTTTGAGAACCAGGGAACCTACCCTTGCAGCAGCAGCAGCTGCCCTAGCCCTGATAGCGCTCCCACTCGCACTGCTGATCCCGCATGCAACGAGGGCGAGAGGGATGATGCAGTTGATGATGCGGTGGGTGATGATTCGGGTGAGGGGGGAGAAGGTTGCATGGAGCATTGGATAAGCTGTGAGTAGTATGACATGGCTTGCTCCCATTGGCCGACGGAGTGCAGGTGCAGCGCCATTGCCAGCCGGGCGAGCCCTGTGGTCGGCACTGTGTTGCAGTCGGGCGGCTCGAGCTCGTCTGCTTCCTGGAAGTGCTCCCGAGCTGGGCGGCAAGAAGAATGGAAACGATTGGAGGGAAAACAAAAATAAGATCCACGAGGCTAGCAGAAGTGAGTAACCAGGACGAGTATTAATTCAAATGACCCAATGCATTTATGCATCTTCAAAGCAATCGTATCTCTCTGCTAACGCTTGAGTTGAACATTTCCCCATGCCCCATGTGACTTTTATACAATGACCACATTCCCTTTAACTCGTCACCAGCAGCCTTGCAACAACGGTACAAGCAGTACAGTTACATGGTTACCAGTGGCAATGTGGCCGCACAGCTACTCCACAAGTCCCACAGAGCAGAACACTCAGGTACCAGCAACACCGTTACACAGTTACCAGCAACACAATTAGAGCATTACCAGAGACGATGTGGCCGCACAGCTGCTCTACCAGCCCCACGGAGCAGAGCACTCCATTACCAGCACAACTGTTACAAAGTTACCACCAGTGGCAATATTTGAAACGGTTACCCGCAGCACATAGAGCATTACCAGAGGCAATGTGGCCGCACAGCTGCTCCACGAGCCCCACGGAGCAGAGCACCCGGAAACGCAGGAACGCCAGCCCTGGTGGTGCTGCTGATGCTGATGCTGATGCTGATGTGACTGATGGTGGCGGTGCTGCTGCTGACGATGATGACTGTGGTGATGGGGCGGGTGTTGGTGGTTGCAGCAATGCAGCGGCCCTCCCAGCAGACTCCATAGCATGTGCGTCCTGGGGGAGAAGGGAGAGTGGGAAGAGAGAGGGAAAGAAGGGAGAGAGGGGAGAGAGGGGAGAAGGGAGGGAGGGGAGAGAGGCAGAAAGAACGAGGGAAAGGGAGGTGGCTTCTAAACAGAAAATGAATTGAAGCAAGTTCTCACCACAGTTCTAGCTTGACCTAGAAGAATTGAGAAACGAAACAAGACGAAAGAAGGTGGTTTCTACAAGGAAACGAAGGAACAGATTTGAATGAAACGAATCAGGCTTCGTTACAAGCATACTCACTGCGTGGCCGCTGAGGTGGACTCGAACCACCTCCTCCAACGCCCCAACTGCCACATAGCAAGCAACGATTCGCTGATCAGATATAAAAAGCAGGTTGAAAGCATGCCATACTATCCAAGCCTCACAGGTAACAGGCATGGCATGACAATACATTTGAGAATTCTCAAAAGCAAGTCTAAGATGGTGTGGCATGGCATGGGATTACTACCACCGGGTCATTTCTGTGTGTGGTGTACTTTTGAGGCTCCTCATAAATACATCATGCCATACTATCCAAGCATCACTCACAGGTAGCAGGAGTGGCATGAGATTACTGCTACCGGGTCATTCCTGTGCGTGGTGTACAGGACATACTGGCGCAAGTGGCCACGGCTACAGGAGCAAACAAGTCAGCAGCCATAGCCGTGGCCACACAGGAGGTTCAATCAAAAGCAGCTGGCGTCACGCGAGGTGAGTTAGGCAAGACAATTGCTTCTGAATCTCCTGTGCGGCCAGGCCACGGCTATGACCGCTGAGTTGTTTGCTCCTGCAGCCTTGACCACTTGCGTCTGTGTGTCCTGTGCACCACGCACAGGAATGGACCGCGTACACGCCACAGCCCACTACAACCCATACCATCCTTCTCAGATACATGCCCATATCTTTATCTCATCCCACCCTTCAACCACGCACCCAGCTCTCCCACCCCACCCCACCAGCTCTCGCCACGCAACCCCCTCCCTCCCCACCCCCACGGCTTCTGCCCCCCATGCCCCCACGGCTTCTGCCCCCCATGCCCCCACGGCCTCTGCCCCCCATGCCCCCACGGCTTCTGCCCCCCATGCCCCTACCCCCACGCCCTCTCTCCCCACGCCCTGCCCACCTCTGTCGCACAACCCCGCATCCCCCATTGCCGCCACCTCCTCTAATGCCTCCACTGCTCCGCTGCTGTCATGGCTGTGGGGTGAAGAGCATGGGGTAGGGGGGTGTGGGGAGGGGGCGCGGGCGTGAGAGAGGGAGAAAGCGGACAATAGATAGGGGAGGACGCGACAACAACCAATCCCGAGAAAGCAAACGTACACTCTCAGCTCACGTGCAGAGCTGCCTGCCTCCAAGCAGAGCAGCCGCGCTGCCCGTTGAGTCGACTCACACGAGTTACACCAAACCATTCTGTAGGCTTGAAAGCCCAATCCTCAGGAGAGCGAACGTGCACTCTGAGGTGCAGCGCGGCAGAAACCCAGCAGGTGAAGCACAGCAGCCGCGCTGCCGTTTGTAAGACTCTCAATGGTCACACCAACCCATTTCTGGACGCCTCAGAAACCCAACCCCTGCGCCCAGAGCCGTGCTGGCATTGACCATCGGAACGTACACTCTGAGGTGCATCGCGGCCTTGAAGAAGCACAGCAGCCGCGCTGGCCTTTTTATCGACTCACACAAGTAGCCCCAAGCCAATTCTGAGAGCGTGAGAACCCAAACCCCAGACCAGATTATGAGCAAACGTACACTCTGAGGTGCAGAGCGGCCTTGAAGCACAGCAGCCGCGCGGCCTGCGACGCTGCTGCCTGCCCGCCCTGCGCGCACAGCATGCTCGCCCCGTGCTCCACCACCCTCAGCGCCTCCTGTGCCGCTGCTGCTGCACACAAAAGAGTGGGAACGAGCAGATGAGGACAAAATTCAGGAGGCGGTTGCATTGCACCAACCCTCCGCCTCCCTCTCCGCCCTGCGCTCTGAGCATGCTCGCCCCGTGCTCCACCACCCTCAGCGCCTCCTGTGCCGCTGCTGCTGGCAAGGAAGAGGGTGGCGGAGCAGAGGAAGGGAAGCGATCTGCAGAACAGCAGATCAAAGCGCCTTCTGCTCATTGGATCCCTTTTGTGGCGATTTTTGAGTCGACTCAAAAATTGACTTATCACACACGGGTGGCGGAGCAGAGGAAGGGAAGCGATCCGCAGAAGAGCAGATCAAAGGGATCAGTGGATCCCTTTTGTGGCGCTTCAAAAGGCGCCTCAGAAGCCGCCTTTTGCGGCGACTCAGAACGGATCCACTGAAGAGTAGATCGAACGGATTAGTGGATCCCTGCTCTGCTCGTCCAACTTATGAGACGTCTCTCAACCCAGACCAGTAGAGATAAGCAGAGCAAAGAGACTCCTTGAGACTCATCCTGACTCACTCACCGTCGTCTGATCCTTCTCTCGTAAGGCACGTCTGCGCGAACGCTATCATCTCATCCGCAAGCCTCCGTTCCGACCCGCCTCCTGCTCCCTCCGCGTCATCCCCGCTACTAGCTGCTCCGCTACGCGCAGCGGGAGCCGCTGCACCCGCAGAGCCGGCAGAACCAGCCTGGACTGCGGAAAGACGAGAAGCCGAGGAGAATTTTCTTGTCCCGAGAGTAGGAAACTCGTTGGGAGCACTGCGATGGCCAGTTGACAGTGGAAAAAGCGGAGTGCAAGCTTGGTGCGCGGGAAGCGGACTAGCAGCTAATCTAGCCGGCGAGGGCGACTGCTTGCCGGTGGACGGAGATTGTCCGTCAAATCTGACGGCGCCAACAGACAGCTGGACGAAATCCGCTTGGAGGTCTGAAGTGGGTTGAACGGATCGCAAGCTGCTGTTCCCTGAAGAAGCTTCAGCAGCACCGCCAATGACTGAGGAGAATTTGCCATGAACGCTGGTATTCTGCTCATTCCTGACGCGTGCGGTCCCGTCATGGATGCTGCAATTGTGAAGGCACGACGAGAGGATCGCGTAGAACGGCGACGGTAACGAGGGATGTGACTGTGTGAGAAGCAGCCGGCTGGCTGATTTGGCGGTCGAGCGCGAAACTGCCGCTAGGGGCGCCATGATGCGAGCTGTTACGCTCCAAGACCACGTGGGCCTAATGGAAACTCTACGGCACAGAGCGCGAGACGCTCGCGTCGCTTCGAGACAAATCACAAGGATTACGTAAGTAGATTGACAACTAAAAGAAGCCTCACGCAACCTCAGTTTCTGTTCTGATGGCCGTGCGCCAATGTTTTCCTTGATATTGGCTGCTGCGGTTGTTGCTTATGAGCCTCGGGCTGCGCAGACTGTAAGCTGTTTCGTTATTGGCCAGAACTCAGCTGCATTGTAGAGTATTTTCCAAGTACACCCGTTTGAAAAAAAAAGCTGCTATGCAAATTAATCCTCCACCCTTTATGGAAGCATCGGAAAAGTCCTTGCAGCCACCGGAAGCGGCGGTGACGTGGCAGTTGCGTGCTGGTTTTGGAAGCGAATCGAACCTTCTGGGCCGCAAAAATGTGGCACAAATTTCTGATTCCCGTATAGAATCATCCACCTACAATAACAAATCTGGTGCGTATAACGAAAGCCCCTTGGTTGGCCTCGTTCCAGCTCTCCTTGCCCCACGGGCCATGGCTGCTCTGCTCCTAGTTTAGTCGAATTCATCATTCGGCTTTACTCATTTGCTGCGTGTTCAGCCTGATCGTTGGCTTTCTCGTTCCACCTCTCGCTCCAGCGTTCTCGTTGCAGCGTCTCTGCCAGTCTCTGGCCTGAAGACTCTTCTTGGCCAGTGTTGTTTGCCCTTGAACACCTGTTAGCTCTTCCAGATCGACTTAACCTCTTATCAGTATCTGCCTAATCGTGCCCGTTCATCCTGAACATCTTCGATCCAACGTCCATTTCGCTTTCCATCCGATCTTCCTCTCCACGTTTCGGATCCGGTCCTTTCCACGTCGATCAGGCGAATCTAGCATCTAGGTGTTTCGGATCAGCGAGCAGCCATGTTCAGGAGCTTGTTGCGGGTGTCGCCTGCGGTTCGGGCTGCTGCAGCCCGATCGTCCACCAATAATGGGAGCGCAAGCCACAGGTACGACCGCATGCGATCGAAACCACTCGACGACTGCGTGCGATTGAGACAAGTGCATGTCTGATCCACCGCACTATGGATGAATCTACCCGTGAGGAGAGGATCTCTTTAGTCTTTCGCTCTGATTTCTCTGATAGCTCCGATCCATAGCGTTAGGCTCGTCCAAGAGGCACTCGCCCGCCGCTGCTGCTCAACAGCTCTCCATTGCTTGCTCTTGTGATCTTAAGAAAGCGTGTAGTGAGTCGAGTTTTGAGTCGACTCAAAACTCGACTCACTACACGCTCTCCATTGCTTGCTCTTGTGATCGTAAGAAAGAGACGCTTTTTCTCTTCCCTCCGTTTCCTCCGCCGTCTGGATTCATGCGCTTCTCGATCTTGCCGTTCCGGGGCGCTGCCGACCGTGCGATTGATTCTGGTACTCCTGATTGACTCTCGTGCGACGCGCGGGTGACTCTGTCTGCTGAATCTCGACGACCTTGCATTGATCAGAGTCGCCCAGGTACGGATGCTTCAACAACACACACCCGCTTCTCCCTTCTAACCCCTCGCTTCCTTTCCACATTCATACCCCTACCCCTTCCCCGCTACAATCACACTTCTTCTACATAGCCACACCCACCTCCCCACCCTGCTAGTACCACACCCCTATCTGCTAGTTTTCCATCCATCCTTTTTTGGGCAGCGCAAAGGTCGCCAGCTGCAAGGTCCCGAGCTGCTTCTCCTTTTGCTCGTCGCTCATTCCACTCCCGTCTGCTCCTCTCCACCTCTCATCACCTCGACGCCTTTATCCGCACACCCTCGAACCAATTGCCAAGGCAGAAGATCTTAATTTACAAGTCACTCTGTCGATTTTCTCAAGAGTTACTTCGCCGCTTTTCCCATTCTCTTCGTGTGACGATCCTGCAACATTCCCTCCGTCCTTCCCGCACCTCCCCACGCCCCTGCTTCGGCGCGCAGCACCAATGGCAGCGCGGGTTCGCCGCCAAGGACATCCGGTTCGGCGTGGAGGCGCGGGCCGCCATGCTGCAAGGCGTGGAGCAGCTCGCCGACGCCGTGCGGGTCACCATGGGCCCCAAGGTACGTGCGGGTTACAGTAGCGGGTTACCAAGGTGTGGTTATTCTAGCAGGTTGCCTTGGGAGTCGTAGTCAAGTCCACGAGTCACGAAGAGTAACATTGAGCAAGTGAAGATCGAGCAGCCGTACGGTGCACGGCGCACGGCGAAAGACGGCGTACGGCGCACGGCGTGCTCCATGCTCACACGCTCTCCCCGGGTGCCGTGCCGTCCTTTTGTGCCCCCCCCGTGTCCCCTCCTCTCCCTTCCACCCCCGCCCTCCACACCCGCCTCCTCCAGGGGCGGCAAGTGGTGATAGAGCAGTCATACGGCTCCCCCAAAATCACGAAGGACGGGGTGACGGTGGCGCGGAGCATCGAGTTCAAGGACAAGCTGAAGAACCTCGGCGCCAGCCTCGTGAAGCAGGTCGCCTCCACCACCAACGACACCGCGGGCGACGGCACCACGTGCGCCACCGTGCTCACGCGCTCGATTCTGCTCGAGGGGTGCAAGTCGGTGGCGGCGGGCATGAACGCCATGGATTTGAGGCGAGGGATCTCGCTGGCTGTGGAGCGGGTGATTGAGCTGCTCAAGGAGCGATCCAGACGGATCAGCACTTCGGAGGAGATCGCTCAGGTGGGTGGTTGAAGGGGGATGTAGAAGGGTCAGACCCCTTTGATTTCAGAAGGGGGATGTTGCTGGCTGTGGAGCGGGTGATTGAGCTGCTCAAGGAGCGATCTAGGCGCATCAGCACTTCGGAGGAGATCGCGCAGGTGGGTCACTGTTTGGTTAAAGGGGGGAATTGAGGGACTTGAGGTGTGAAGAGACTTGGTCGGGGGGATGTATGGGGGTTTGACACCTTGGATTTTGAGGCGGGGAATTTCGCTGGCTGTGGAGCGCGTGATTGCGCTGCTCAAGGAGCGATCTAGGCGCATCAGCACTTCGGAGGAGATCGCCCAGGTGGGACGTGTGGCTTGGAGATTTCCCTACTTGGAGTTTCAGATGGAGAAGTGTGGTTGTGTTGTAAGAGGGGTCCGAACCGAAGGAATGCCGCATTTCCCCATCCCCGCTCCTATCCCGTCCTTGCTCTCCCCTTGTCCACTGCCAGGTTGGCACCATCTCGGCCAATGGCGAGAGGGAGATCGGAGATTTGATTGCGCGGGCCATGGAGAAGGTCGGCAAGGAGGGAGTGATCACTGTTGCGGTGAGTGCTGGTCGTAGTTTTGCCACTGCTTTTAACAAAGTAACTGGCGTGGTGCTTGTTGCTCAGGTTTCCACCGGAGTGATCTGGTTGCATGTGCAATGGAAGAGGTCGACAAAGGGTGTCATGACTGCCATTAGCTAAGCCCTGTCTTTATATGGTGTTGTTGATTTCTTGTTTCTCCACCACCTAATTGGTTTGTCTACTGACCATTTATGAACATGTACGTTTATAACTTCAACTGTAACAGGATGGCAAGACGCTCTATAACGAGTTGGAGGTGGTGGAGGGAATGAAGTTCGACCGTGGCTACATCTCGCCCTACTTTATCACCAACCCCAAGACGCAGAAATGCGTGAGTTCTGCTCTGTTATCGGATTCAATACGCGTGGTCAAGGGTTTTGGAGTGTCAGGGGTTGGGGTTTCGGGGTTTTAAGGGTTTCGAAACCCATTTTGTCTCACATACCCATTTCTCTCCCCTTTCCGCGCCTTTCTCCCCTCCTCGCCCTTCTCCCCTCCTCGCCCTTCTCCCCTCCTCGCCCTTCTCCCCTCCTCGCCCTTCTCCCCTCCTCGCCCTTTTCCCCTCCTCGCCTTTCTCCCCTCCTCGCCCTTCTCCCCTCCTCGCCCTTCTCCCGTCCTCGCCCTTCTCCCCTCCTCGCCCTTCTCCCCTCCTCGCCCTTCTCCCGTCCTCGCCCTTCTCCCCTCCTCGCCCGTCCGCCGCTCTGCCCCCCTCCTCCCCTTCACAGGAGCTAGAGAACCCCTTGGT